GGGGGGGGGGAAGAATGCCAGTAGATAGATGTAATTGCTGCCAGTTTAAACTAAGACACATCACTTCAGGAGAGCTTAAATGAGAGAAAGAATAGGAAAAAAAAACCCCTCCAAAAAAACAAGCCAGTAGGGGGGCACAAAAGCAAATGGCCTGCCTCTTCAGCAGTGGCTGCAAGGAAAGCTTTGTGCTGCTTCGGGGCACAAAAGCAAATGGCCTGCCTCTTCGGCAGTGGTTGCAAGGAAAGCTTTGTGCTACTTCCTGAGGGAGAGCCTCTCCGTGTGAAGGTTTTGCCTCCTCCCTGGGTATCATAGTGTACTTTCATCCATTGGCCCATCTTTGAAGTGATTTGCCTTCTGTTCTCCATATCTTTAACCGCCCCCAGCCTGGTCCATCCTCAATTTTGAATGGGTGACAAAGGAATCAGCAGCAAGAAAAGTTGGTGGACAATTATGGCCTTTTTATGCAGATGTGGCAAGGAGAGCCACAGGTTACTTGGCTTATTATAAAAGGGAGTTGTGACTCCTAATAGGAACTTGGGAGCCACTGGGCTAAAATCCTGGAGGCCACCGCATGGGACCTTTCCTTGTCTGCATTTTTGTTTCCAGGAACTAGTAATGGAGCTGCTGCTGCAGACAACACTGATCAAGGCATGGTTGTTGCTGACAGTTGCACCTTCAGGTATCATCAGTCTGTACCTGAAGCTGCAGAAATACCAGACAGCTATCTTCTTAGCATTAAGATGTTCATTTAGCCACCATCACAATGTTAACAAAACATGTCTGATCAGTACCACGGACAGCGCTTCCCTTGAAGCTGGCCATCATAACTTATTATGCTACAAAAAAGTGATTCTACAACTAGAATTTTGCATGAAAAAGGCTAACATATAGATAAGTGTCCTGTAAACAAAAGTGAAGGCTGCATGTTTTGGCAAGGAATCCTCTTTTGAATTTGATAGTCTCTGCAGGCAAGTGATTTCAGCAGGGGCTAAAATGGTGGAGGGGGGAAGCCCAAAGCTGTAGATTTCATTGTACCACAATACTCTTTTCATTGCGGTTTCATCAAAGAATATTTTTTTTAAAATAATAATTAATATATGGGCCAGATAAATTACTGTTCTGTCATAGAAGGAGCACAATCTTGCCTTGCCAGGTCTGGAATAAAGGAAAGAAAAACAAATGGCTGCTGCTTACATTCTTTTGAATTGGAGACAAGATTTTCCAAAGTATGTGATGTATTTAGTTGACTGTGAGGGCAGAGGCTGAATGTTGGGGCCTCAAATTAGAGAAGTGAAGGGAAAATCAGTCAAAAAGAAGGGGGCAGAAATATAAAATGGTCAATGGGGGGTGTTATTTGGCCAAGTGAAGAGAAAAACTGAACCTGATTGAATTGCATTCTAAATTATCTTTCAAAACTGGGAAGAAGAATGCCCTATCCATGACCAGTTTCTCTGCTAGGCAGATGGAAGCAGCTACTGCAAGCTAGAAATACTGGAGGGCATGGAGTGGCTGCAAGATGTTTGAGCACAAAGATTTGTCTATGTGTGGTGCAAATTGGCCTGCACTCCTTGCCCTGTTTTTCTGCCTTCTGGAATGGTGAAGGATACTGTCCAGTCACCTGTTCAGAAGTATAATTCAATGGGGAGATTGGTCAACTTTTGTATATGGAAAGGGGGAGGGGTATCTTGTCCTTTGCATTAGGTAAGAAAAGGTATTCAGCCATCTGAACACCATTTCAATTACTAAGGAACCTCATGATGGCCAGAATACTGTTTTCCTTCATGTATAATGAAATTCCACATGTTATGCCCAGGCAATAAGCATTGCACAATTAAATTGCACAATCAGTCATGCCGTTTCCATCACAGCCATTGCACAACAAGCCTGTGAAAGTGCTTTGTGAATAGTATTTATGCAATGGCACAATTAGAGCTACCTATTGCATAACATCACGTGATAAAAGAATAGTTACTTAATAGGATTACAGCTGGCAGATGATGAGTCTTGAAGGAAACCTCAGTAGGAACTTTGCTTCAAGATCCATAGTGAGAAAGAGACACACATGTTTTGGCCCCCAAATGTGGTACTGAGCTGAGTAATCAATCATGCAGACCTTGCTCAAAGCCTGGAAGATTGCTCCTGTTATTCATTATTATGGACTTTTCAGGTGAGGAGAAGAATTGTACAATTGGTTGTTGTGGGTTTTTCAGGCTCTTGCTTGTGACAGGTAATGGTTTACATTCCTACTAACTCTAGGCATCTTATTGTTAATCCCAAATAGAGTAGATACAGTGATGACTCATTGAGAGATATACTGTATGTTGTCTTATCATTCAGCCTTTGGTAGAATGGGTCTGCTTACTATGTACCCACTGATGTTACTGAAACACATTAAAATATAAATGTAACATTGTTATGGTCTCATTGCCTCCTCCCAAAGTAATTTGTTACAATAGCTACAATTACATTACTTGTAGCTACTGTCTCTGAGCTCTGTCTTTGCTCAACTGGGCAATTTACAGCATATGGATGGCTGAGGCATAATTTGTGGATTCAGCATCCTCCAATGAAGTTGGGGAGTAAAGAATGAATAGTGAAAGGAAGAAAGAGTTCCTTCTTGTTTTGTCATGATTCGATGCTTGTTGTTCCCTCATTTCCTTCCTATGCTCACCATGAATGACTTGAAGTTGTATTATCCTTGCAGTATCATTAAGTGTTCCCGTTCCACATCGATACATTCCGGAGTCTTGTGCCCTCAGTTCATTTATAATGACATTGAGCATTCCTGAGCTGTCTTCCATAGTAACATTAATTCTTCCATTTCTGCCTTTATCTACTTTGGGAATACAGCCATATCTACTAATTTTGCACAAGGAATCCCTCATGATCAGTGTAGTTGTTTCCAATGGACATTGTATCATCACTGATCCTCTCAGTTTACCCCAAATAATTTCTGGTGATTTTGGTGGATTTGGACCTGTTTGGAGAGAAAAAACAACAACACCCCATTGGTCACAGTTTTTCAGGCATTCATTCCCATGGCAATTTCAAATAATAGCATGTAGATGTAAAATTATACCCAAACCAAACAAATTAATCTTCATTGAGAAATATTTTAAAAGCATTAATGTTTTCATCAATCAATTGAGTGATCAATATATTTAACAATCTGAAATAATTATAAAATGAAACATTACTACCTACTAATAATTTCATTTATTACTTCATATCTACATACACATTTCAAACTCACATTTCCAACTGTCTAGTAACACAAAAATTTTGTTTATGAATGCTTCATTTTACTTGAGTATATTACTTGAGACAGGGAGCAGTCAAGGATATAAAATAATACATTTTTAATGTGGGAAGATTACTTCTTATCTAACATCTCTAAATATTTTTTTGAAAGAGCTGTCTTCCTCTGCATTTCTTGCAATTTTTCCTTTGAACAACCATAATTAATTTAAATGTAAAACTGTACTGATAGTCAATGGTTTCAGATATGTCAAATAGGAGATATGTTGAAAAGTTGAACTTACTTGAGGTTTATCAAGACAGGGAAGGGAAAAGCAGTACTGAAAATGGAATTCCAATCCTGCTATTTATCCAAATAATCCCAGATTTTTGCCTTAAATTTATTTTTATTTGTTTTTTAATCAACAGAACAAAATTTTGCTCAGATATTTTGCACTTTTCAAAGCAGAAAATCTGCACCTATCTCTAAATGTATTATGAGGTCTGCTTTATTCTAAAAGTGAAGCTAACTATCCATTCCATAATATATTGCACTTGTTGTTTCCTTTTCATAGCAGTGACTACTGCCCTCATAATATTATAATGATCATTGTTATCTAGAAATTCTAACTGCTCAGTTAACTTATTAACAGACATCTTTTGTACTTTAATCTTATTCTCAAGTCCAGCACTGCAAATCTCAGTCTCCCTAAATATAACCATCAATTACCACAGAAAACGTTCCATCTAAGAGTCCATTTTACTACCAATATGCAATTAGGCTATCAGGAATCATCAAAAGAGTTACACTTCTGTCATGCCTTTAAAAATGAGTGAAGGATGAGTCATTACTATTTTCTACAACAATTTTCTTTAACATGGTGCCCTCTTGAACCTGAAAGTTCTAATCTACAGGATGGCTGAATGTAGTCTCTTATTTGGAAGGGGATAAAGTAAACTCATACCTGTAAATGATATAAAAAGTGATCTAATGGCTTCACAATTAGTTTTGCATTTAATAAAGAGATATCCAATGTGTTATTTCATGAAACATTCTTTCAGGGCAGCTTTGTCTGTCCTTTGATGAAAGCTGTCTAGATTCTTTCAGTGTGCTTACCTTCCCAAACAGTTAGATTCACTCCAGCATATAAATTGTGATCTGTCTTGCCAATGCCACATCTGTAATTACTGGAGTCTTGTTTCTCCACCTGTGTCATTGTCACTTTCAAAATCCCTTTCTGAGGGTCATCTTTCATTGACACTTTTCCTTCATAGCCTTGAAGGATGAAATGGTTAGTGGAAATGATAGTCTGGCAAGGTTTGTAGAGAAACTTTGACTCCTTGCACCAATATTTTCTGTCATGTCTGTTGACTGTTGTGGCTAAATAGTAGCAAGTGATTGTCACTGATCCTCCAACAGGACTTATCAACAACCTTGGTCCATACAATGTGCCCGAAACTATTAAGGGGAAGAGAGAAGAAATCAGTACATTGTCCAAGTTATTAGACCAGTTATAAAATGTTATTTTTCTCTTGCTGGAATAAAGCAAAATAAAAAATTATCTTGGTCCAAATGCAGCCTCAAAATTAATTGACCAAGGGTTTGGGTTAGGGGCACACTTGTTCATTTTTAAAGTTATTTTGTTTCTACAGAAACCTGGTGTCCTTCGGAATTTAAGTGCCCAAAATGGCTGGACATTAACCTTGCTGGCTGGTGCTTGTGGGAACTGAAGTCCAAAACTTCTGAAGAACTTCAGCTTATATAGAGATTATCATGTTATGAGAGTGCTGGGACCCAGAGACAAACTTCCATCAATTCAGCAACCCAATACAATCTGAATCCAAACCTCATCCGAGACTTGAATCCACATTATAATAGGCATTATCTACTATTGTAATTAGTATGTGACTTCAAGTCATAACTGACTTACAGCAAGTCTAACGGGCATTTGGGAGGTAAGTGCCTGAGCAGATCCAATTCCCAGAACAGGGAGTGCTTTTACCAGTTCCACACTCCCAGTAAGTTTCCATGGCTGAGCAGGGATGTGAAGCAAGGCCTCTTAAGTCCTAGTCCATTGCTTTATCCACTCCACTATACTGGGTATCCCCTTGACCTACTATAGCCTCTCTGTACTTTTAGCAATGCAATTTACTGCAGTCTGTGGAAAGCTGGGAGGTGTTTTAATGTTTATGGATGGAGAACAATAACCCCACTTGTCACAAACTTATTAAAGAGACATAAGACGTAAGGATAAAGAAGACATATTTGGCTACTCACCATGCCTCAGAATGAAGTACAAAAGAAAGGTAGTTACCATCATGCTTGAACTCAGAAACACTTTTTTTTAAATGTCCAAAGTGGCCTTTTATGAGGGGACAGACTCCAAACAGCCAGGTCAAACCTGAAAGGATGTGAAAGACTTTCAATCTTTTTGTTTGCAGTCAAAAGAAGTCAAAGAGAAAAAGCAATATCCAGAAGCAGCACAGCCATTGGTCAGATATGATGGAAGTCCAATGTTTGGAAGGCAGACCATAGCCCATGGACTAAATGCAAGTGCATGAGACCCACTGAAACGAATGAGACTTTCAGGAAGCTTGAAATCAGTGGGACTTATATAGATGGTGAGTCATAGGTCTAATTCATTTCATTGCTACTATACTGGCTGGGACCAGCATGGGGAGCTTATCACAGAAAGAAGTAGCTTTTGTAAAGTACTTCCTTTCTCAGGCCCCTTAACTTCATTTATAGGAACAAGCTCTCTTGGGTTTTTTTGTTTTTTTCCTCACTGGAAATTCTGGATATCTCTATCAGCAGTTAGAACCCTATATAAAGTTAATGTTCATGAATGGGATTGCAAGCTCTGAGGCAGTCAAGGTAATAACTACTTCCCCATCGGAGTTAAGCAATTTCCTTTTTGTAAGTCTGCTGCAGAGCTGCTGAACCAGAAATCAACTTTCAATTTTCACCCTCAAAAATAATCCTCTGAAGGGTTTCAGAATAAAGTAAGAAAAAGATGAATATATTTCTAAAAATAAATCTTTTTCGGTGAATTTAGAGTGAAACAATTTGACAGAACCAGTGGTATGATGCAAAAAATGTGACAGTTAAATTGAGTGGTAAAGTGCCAACATGGTTAAAATGTTCAGCTAAGACTGGGAAACCCAGGTCAAATCCCCACTTCACCATGAAGCTGACTGGCCGGTCAGTGTATTTCAACTTTACAAGAACTAGAGAGGAGAGACAGATATAACTTCCTTAGCTTTTTGGGAAAAAAGGTGAAACATAAGTGTTAACAAACAACATAAACTTTCTTGAAATGTCTGTGTGTTTGCTGTTCACTTTCAAGCCATAAACACGTTCCTGATTTCTCAAACTCAAAGTTCTTTTGGGATCGTTCTTGTAGGTTTTTTGGGCGGTTTGGCTGCAAAACCTACAACAACCATCAGATCCCCACCGTGAAAGCCTCTGAGAATACATTCTTCTGGGCTCACTTCTCTAAAATACTATTTTTTTTCCAGCCAGAATGGTGTTATAGGGAATGGATAGTGTGGCACCCATGCTCTTTTCTTGAGGCATAGGCAAGAATAATTAAAAAAAATTCAAAGCAAGAATAATTAAAAAAAGAAAGTATCACTTCTTGAATAAAAACAGTCAGCCACTACTACACCCCTAAGTGGACTCACTCACTCTGGAGCTTGCATTTCACCTCTCTAGCATCTATATCAGTCTCCCTGTGTTCCCCAAGTGCGGGAGGGAAAGTCTTACATTGGCCCAAAAAAGTAAATCGGGAGTTTGTGAATGCTTCAGTGAACATCAGATGACTTCAGAAAAGCCCTGAGGGGCTCTCCCTGCCACTACAATCACTACAGTTCCTCCCCAAGAGAAATGTCTCATTTTGAGGAAGGGTGCTGGAGGTTATTCTCACATGCAGGAAGTGGTGAGCAAGGTGTCCTGGGCAATCAACGTATAATTTCCTGCCAAGAACTATAAGGCATGAGTTCAAACCAAAGACACTGTAGGCAGAAAAGACATGCCATTGATCAGTTTCCACTAATAGATGTGCCCTCTTCTACCTCTTCCTCAAGATAATGCTTTTTCACCATCTTTGAGAGGAGAAATTGTGGGAGACAAGTAATTGTGTGAAGCTCTGCATATGATTGCTACTGCTTCCCTGGGAACTTTGTGTTCAGCTCCAGTAACTTGATGGGGGCATCCAGCCAGGGCACAATTCTAAATAGGGTGGACAGAGAACTTGGAATAAGCAAATTATTGTTATTTTATAAATCAGGATGTTCTTTTAATCCCCAGCCCTTCAACAGGAGTCAAACACAGTTAGAAGAGTGACTTCATTTAGTTAGGCCACAATTAATTTAACATTTGCCCATAACTTTTAAGAGTTTAAAAGTTTTAGTGAATTAGATACAGAAACTATCTCAGCATCCAAGAGATTGAGAAGGGCAACATGGCAACAGCAGCATCCCCAGATAGCAAGTGAATTGTGAGATTTGCAGTCCAACAACAACAACAATTGTGATTTATGATGAGCCCTCTAGCATTTTCAAGGTATATAACATACTCAAAGATGGTTTACCAGTCCGTTTTTCTAAAAAGTGCTGTGGGACTGCGCAGCTTGCCCAAGGCAACATAGGCTCGCTCTTCTCCAGTGCCCAAGGCAACATAGGCTGGCTCTTCTCCAAAGAGGCACAGGGAGGCACAGATTCCCAACCTACAGCTCTACATACATCGCTAACTCACTGAGCTATCTGTTATTGTTGTTGTTTAGTCATTAAGTCATGTCTGACTCTTTGTGACCCCATCTGTATGTGGAACCAAAGTTTGTACAAAGCAACAGGAAGATTCCAGGCTGGATAAGCCAATGCAAACTACAAAAAGAACCAATTTAAGGAGAAAGATGAGATAAAATATTTAAATAAATAAATAACCACAGAGACAACAGTATCAAGGACAGTAACACAAGCCATTTTTTCCTGAGTTTTCCTTTGCAACTAGAACTTTAACAATGTTTAATGTAATCTTTAATTTGATTAATTAAAAACGTTATCCACTCATGCTAATCTAAATTAAGTAGGTGCTTTGGTCCTATACAAAAGGGACGTGGTGCTGCTGCAGGTTAAACCGCAGAAGCCTCTGTGCTACAAGGTCAAAAGACCAACAGTCGTAAGATCGAATCCACGTGACAGAGTGAGCTCCCATCGTTTGTCCCAGCTCCTGCCTACCTAGTAGTTCAAAAGCATGTAAATTCAAGTAGATAAATAGGTGCCACCATGGTGGGAAAGTAATGGCATTCCATGTCTAGTCATACTGGCCACGTGACCACGGAAACTGTCTACAGACAAATGCTGACTCTACGGCTTGGAGACGGGGATGAACATCACACCCTAGAGTCGGACGCAACTAGACTAAATGTCAAGGGGAACCTTTACCTTTACCTTGGTCCTACACATAAAATCTTAACCAATTAGACCGTTTGTACAAACCAAGTAAGCCTTTCATACTAACACTGTGCTAACAAGCTCTTCAGCAATCATAGGTCCTACTTCATGAGTGACGAGGGTTTATAGTAGAGTTCTGAGAGATTTTCTGATTTCTTGGACTACAAATCCCATCACTCTCTTTTCTGGGATTTTCACAGACAGAAACCTTACAGACACCTAAATGTGACTTATCAGGTTGGCATTGCTTTTTAGCCAACAAGGGGCAGTATGAGGAGCTACTTTGGTGTGTTTGAGAGCATTTGTTTTCTTATTGTAGTCTGTTTTGCTGATCTGGTGGGTGTACTCTGTTTTGGGACATGACAATAGCCTTCACATAACTCCCTAGTGGGTATTCCCACTTGTGCAAGGACACGTCCCTTTCCCAACTAGGTCCTCATTTGTACTTCCCATCTGCCCACCGGTTCCTCCTACACCACCTTCAGAGCTTTGCCTTCATCTTGCCACAACTAAATCCTGCTATTTCCTGCTTAATCTGAGTATGCAGCTATATCTTCAGGACACATCTACTCTTATTGCCTCACCTTGGCATTGACCGGACATGCTATTATGATAACATGTTCATAAATTGATGTGAAAATTATGGCCATCCATGGTCATTTAATTCAAGAATCCAGTGGAGTCCGGTTCTAGCCTCATAATATATTTGGTATAGTGGGCTACCATTTGCCTTTCTAAATGCTATGATGACATAACGATATGATGAGAAGGAAATATGATGTTATCCTTAATTGTCACAGTTCCCATAGCCCTCTCTCAGTAAAAAAAAAGTGAGTCATATGGTACATGGCACATATAGGTGCAAGGAGGCTGTGGTGTCCAAGAGTGTGATTTTGGGTACAGATTCCCTTAATATGCCTGCCTGGGAATGGCAGAAATTACAACAATATACAGCAACTCATAAGACCAAAGAAGAATGGAGGGGGAAGAAGAGAGACCAGTGTGGAAGGGGAATGCAACAAGAAATAAGTGTATAGCAGGAAGCAGTGTGATATAACCATTAGTGCTTCTTTCCATCAAAGGTTCTTTCTGAAGGGAAAACTTTAAAAATAAAGTAAGTATCTCAAACACTTTGAAAAGGTTGCTTATGCCTATTTCCCTCTTCACAGCTTCAGGAAAACTATCCTTGTAAAAAGAATCTTTATCATGAAATGCACCAGGAATAAAAAGGATTCTTTTTTAAAAAAATGGAGGAATACATTTTGTGCAGCTGTTAGTTTGCTTTGACATCTGAACTACAATGTACAAGGTTTCATGTCCTTACAATATTTCTCTCTCTCTCTCTCTCTCTCTCTCTGAGCCATGATTTAGGTAGGGAATCTGAACTGAGACTGAAAGACAAGGGCACAACCCATTCCTTCATACTGTAGCCCACAACTGAAAACCTGTCCCCTCAAAAGATGCTATCTCTGCATAGGCTAGAATTTGTGAGCTTTCCTTGTTTTTTTCCTGGTTTCACTAAAAGAAACTTAGATCCAGAACAGCAGCCATGAGTCTCAACATCACTTGTAATTCAAGTTGCATTTCAGTTAAGAGCAGCCCAATCCCGTACATGATTTTTTTTCTTAAAGTCACACCGCGATCAATAAGACTGCCAACTAAAAGTCCACTGGCTTATAGCCTGTCAATACAATTCTAGTCCTATAAATGTTTATTTTGACATAAAATTTGGCGAGATAAACATAAATATGCACAGAAATGCAGGTTCAGTACAAAAATATGAACTACTCCTTTCAATTAAAAAATTCCAAAGGCCAATCTTCTGTCTTTATAATTTCCATCAATGTTTACACAGACCAGTAACTTTTGATGAAGGCTTGAATCCAGCTGGTGGTCCCAACTACAGTTAAACCCATTGAATAATGGCTTTTACTGTAATTTTACTATACTATTCTACTATAGAATAGGATTTACAGAAGGGTGGATGAAACATTCAGCACCTGATTCACTGGTCCAATAAATCAATTACAATTCATTCAACTGGATATAGACCCTTGACTTTTATGTCTTGACAATAAAGCCTCACTGTACATCACTGTATAATGCTGACACAATATAAGTGCAGTCACATGAACCTCTGCTTCGTCAATATTAAATAGCAGAGAATTAAACAGATTGAATCAGATGTAAACAGTGTCTTACCAAAACTGGTTTGACAAGCTGCCCTCTCATGTGTCTAATGGGCTCCTTCATTTTGCCTTTACATCATATACAACAAAATAACTTTTGCAGACCTTATATTGACAATCCATTCAAAATAAACATAATGATATAAATTATAATACAATCATAGTAAACTTCTTATGCATTCATATGCTGTATGTACAGCATTAACATTATCACTTTATCAGCTTCAGTCTCCTCCATGGTTCATTATTTAATTTTTATATGAGGCTTACAGAACTTAAACTGACTTACCTTAAACCTGAAAATACAAAACAAAATTATTTTCCAGATTCCAGCTTTGAAAGTGTCATCCCCTACTCAGAAAACCAAGCAATACTTAATACTTCAAATAAATATATTTAGTATATCTTTTCAGCTCAGGCTTTTAAAAACAGGTCTTCGCACAATACTCACTGATTAAACTGCACTGTGAACACAGCAAGCTGTTCTTCAGAAAACAGGAAGACCCAACCAAAAGCAGGTTTAATTATTGCTCTCACCACAGTGACATAAGGAAGTTCTTTCAAGAGGGGAGAAAGAACCTATGGTCACATAATCAGAAAAGAAATTCCCCTTCTGTTACCTTGAGATTCTTTTATTTTGAAAGTAAGGGGATGAAACTGATTCAGGGCCCATAAACTAATATGAGGATGGAGGTACTTTAGAGAGTTGGAAATAGACTTGAACCTACAGTCCTCATTTGCCTTGAACTTGAATTGATTAAGACACAGTCTCTCTGTCTTTTCCTCCCTCCCATCCCCGTCTCCCATACACAGGATAACAAGAGAAAGAGTTTGAAATATTGAGTTTAATAATCAGAATTATTATTAATTATAATTATTAATATTGTGAATGATGAAAAAAGGTCGTTGGGTCAGTGGGGGTGCCTTCTCTCCCGGCTCCTTTAGTGGGGTTGTCCTTGTTGGCTGCAGAATGAGTTGCAAAACAAGGATGGCTTATAAGACTCCATGGGGGAAGGTTTGCCAGTCTCTGGCTCTTGCTCAACCTGGTGTTGCTGCTGGTTGAGCTTGGCAGGCACATCCTCTGCCTTTGCTTCTACCAGTGTCTGCCTTGGTTTGCTGCAGGTTCCCCAGGAGCTCTTTGCTGGGTTTGGCAGCACCTCTCTTTTCTTTCCCACTTACCCCAATGTGAAAGACATGGTGCTGGGCATGGGTCAAGGTGCCTTTCAGCTTCTTCTTTGGGCACCTGGTTTGGGGTCCTCTGGGATCTCAATGTCCAAGTGGTAGGATTCTTCCTCAGGGCTCTCAACCCATCATCCCAAGAGTCCTCTTCCTCCCACTTCTCTTCTTCCTCCCCCACCATTTTGGGGAAGAATTTCCCAGTTTGTACAGGCTGGTCAATCTTTCCCTCATCCTCAAATTTCCTTTTCTCTTCCCATTCTGCCTCCAAACCCTCTTCAACAGCCCTCAGGTTCCAAGGGTCCTTTCTGCCCTTAGAAGTCACGGTTCCATTCCTGGGATTCCTTCTGTTTCTGGGCTTTTCCTTTGATACCACCCCCTTCCTGAGATCCTACCCAGAATCTTCCTTGTCACAGAGTTCATTTTTCATTCAGGTACTCTTGAGAGGTTATAGGCCAGCAAATTCTCTCCCAGTCTACATAGCGGATCATTGTGTGGAGCTCATTTGGTTCTGGAGTGAAGGTGAGACAGCCTGCTGGGGCACCTAGGCCACTATCTCCATCCTCACAGAGTCCCCTCATGGAAAAATAATCCCTGCCATTAGACAGGATGAGAAAGCTACCTCAGGTAACAGATGCTGAGAAACAGTCATGGAAGCCTCTCGGCTGTTCTTAAACTCTCCATACTTGTTGGGCTGTGTCACAAAGCATGCTCTCCAAGGTAGCTAGCAGCCCCAAGCTGTGGTGGAGGACATGACCCTATTGCCAGCATTAGAGTGTATTTCAAATGCCAGTCCAGCTAACAATGAAAAGGGAGACACCATCTTGTGCACTGCCTTAGGCAGGAAAATGTCCCATTCCAACCTTGTCTTGTGCCTGGTATTTCTTCTTGATTTTCTTCCACTTTGGAAAACGTGCATGGTGGGTTCAAAGGTTAGTAGCTAAATGTTATTCATGTGTAGTATTTGATAAAGCAAAGCCCAATTATCTCTTTGGAGTTGTTAATGATTTATTAAAACAGCAGTGCCAAGAATAATTGCAACCATTGCACTCCAAACTTTGCACCTTTTCCAGCCACTGCCATTGTATTACTCTGTCATCTGGTTGATTCCACCCTAGTACTACCAAGAGTTAGAAAAGTAATGATTCCCATAGTGCATATACCCATGTTTATCAGATGCATCAGAAAGGTGATAGGTCTCTCGCATGATTAATACTCCATTGTAGGCCACCACCATCTTTCAGGAGGTATGTAGTATCATGGCCTACACATTACTATAAGCTAAATGGCTTGGGTCAAAGCTGTCTAAAAGACCGCATCTCCCTCTATGAGCCTGCCCAGGCATTAAGATAATCAGTGGAGTCCCTTTTCTCAGTCTCACCACCCTCGCAGGGACACTTGGTGGAGACACAGGAGAGGACCTTTTCTGTTGCTGCTCCCAGACTTTGGAACTCCCTCCCATGGGAATCCAGCCTGTCCTCATCTTTCCTTGACTTTCCGTAAGTAGGCAGAGATTCAGGCAAGCTTTTCCTTAGTACAGTAACTGGCTGAGAGGGTTCCCTTTTTTAATGGATTGTTGCGCACTGTCGCTTTTAAATGTGTTTGTGGTATTGATTTTATTTACCATTTTTATTATAATACTTATTAAATTCTTTTTAAATATTTGTACACTTACTGTTTTTAGTTTTCAAATATTGTCTTCCGTAATGTAAACTGCTTTGAGTCTTTTTAAGGAGAAAGGCAGAGTAAAATATTTTAAATAAATACATAGACAAATAGTCCTTAAGGCTTGGTCTTCCCCCTATCCATGCCCCTGTTTATATTTCAATTGAACTGATGTATGAATCCACTCTGAAGTTAGGCACTTCACACTGGGGTTTTTTTTTTTTAATAATTGTAATAATTACCTCTGGAGCAGTCATATTATTTTATCCCACAACTAGAGAAGGACGACAGTGCCACCATGTGACTCTTATTAATCATTGCACTGCCCAGTGGAATAAATATGTTTAAATTGTGAATGGGATTAGAAAGGGAAGCTGTCTTCGTTTGATTCAGGTTGATTCAAAGTTTCCTATGGCAGTTAAATTATTGTTGGCAAGTGACATAGCATGGACGCTTTCATTCACTACACCCCATTTCAAAAAAATCTATTCTGATGACATAGAATAACTTACAGCAACATAATTTTATCTAATAATTGTCTGCTGCCAAATCAGTTCTGATTTATGGTGGCAATTTTCATGGTTTTCTAGGTAGAGAGTACTCAAAAGTGGTTTACCATTCCCTATCCATAAAATCAACCACCTGCCTAAATATAGGAAGGTTGTCGCCTTTCAATTAATGCTAAGAGTGTGACTGCATTGGAACACTGCATTTGAAGGACTTGGCTTTGCTTCAATTTGCTTCAAAGCCTGTATTGTGTTTAAAACTGTAATAAGTCCTGCCTCTGCTGATCTTTTTATAAAGCATAAATGTGGGAAATAATAATAAGCACCAAGCATAAGGTGACAGGGTGATTTAGCACTGATCTCATATATGCAAGAATTTCTCTTTTAAAGGAGGACATTTGGGGGAGCTGAACGAATGTGGGGCTGTGTTCCCCCAGTCCTGAACATTATGCCTCAACTGCCTACATCTCTGAAACAACACCCACAGATATGCCCCTATCTTTTTAAAAAATGGAGCATTGTAGCTAAGAGTGCAAGTTATAGGACTTTCCACCCCTTCCAAACTCCTTTCCTCCCCCTTTCCATCTCCATCTCTTTGATATTCCTCTCTGTGCCCCAAAAGCATGGTAATCTATCCATTCGGGTAGGTGGGAAGCCTTGTTAGCCTTGGAAGCAGCCCATCTAGGAGAAGGAAAGCTCTGATTTAAAACCTCCACTGCCTTGTGGCTTTATCCACTGATGCAAAAGGCTTCCGGAGTTAACCTTGAGACAAAATCTGGAGCCAGAGTCCCAGAGGCAGTTTGTGACGTTCTGGCAACTCCTGCGATGTGGCTGTAACCAATTGTATTGCCTCTTGCCTTTCCATTGGACTATTTCAGTGACATGGAGAGGGGGGATTTGCTGCTTGGGTAACAGCCTATCCTCCATATTATTTTACCAGGCTGTGTGCTCTGGAGAGGAGTACAACTTCCAGGCTCTTTAGGTTGCTTGTAGCAAAGTCTAACAGACTGCCAGGAGATGTTCTGATGATTATTGGTTTCAGCTCTGCTCTCAGATACAGACAGCAGCGGACACAGGTAACATCAAGGGAATGTATGATGTTATCAAGCAGGCTTTAGGTCCAATACAGAACAAACCTGCTCCTTTGAAGGCTGCTAGAGGCATGATCATTCAGGACCGAGTACAGCAGATGGAACACTGGGCGCAGCACTACTCTCAGCTGCATTCTAGAGAGAATGTCGTAACCAAAGAGGCAATAAATAACATCGAGTGCCTGCCTTTCTTGGAACAGTTAGACAGTGAACCAACTTTAGCAGAAGTAAAAGTGGCCTTGGATTCCCTCACCTCCCAGCAAGGCACCTGGGGAGGATAACATCCAGTGCTGAAGTGCTGTGCTGTAAAGAGATAATCACCACCAAGCTGTATGAAATCTTCTGTCTTTGCTGGAGGGAAGGTGGAGTACCACAGGAGATGAAGGATGCAAACATTGTCACATTGTACAACAACAAAGGCGACAGGGACAACTGCAATAACTACAGTGGCATCTTTCTTCTCAGCGTTTTAAGGAAGCTGCTTGCCTGTGTTGTGCTGAAGAGGCTCCAGCTCATTGCAGTCTATCCAGAATCACAATGTAGAGTTTGAGCTAATAGATCCACCATTTATATGGTATTTTCCCTCAGACAGTTGTGGGAGAAATGTAGGGAACAATGACAGTCACTCTTTGTGGCCTTCATAGATCTTACAAAGGCCTTTGATTTGGTTAGCAGGGCCAGCATTTTTAATTTTTTCCCAAAATTGGATGTCCACCTTGACTCCTTAACATCATGAGGAAATGAAAGGCACTATAGTTTTTGATGGGTCAACATCAGATCCCTTTGACATCCAAAGCAGAGTGAAACAGGGCTGTTTGGGATCCTTTTTTGCTGTCATGCTGAAGCACACTTTTGGAACTGCAACAGAAGTTGTCTATCTCTGGATTAGATCAGACAGAGAGCTATTTAATCCCTCTAGATTGAGTGTGAAGACCAAAGTCCAGCTGAAATGCATGTGGGACTTCCTCTTCATTGATGACGCAGCTGTTGTTGCCCATTCTGCTGAAGACCTCCAACAACTCATGAATCATTTTAGCAA